TCCTGAGAATCATAGTAGAAGATTTTTTTTTTTTCTTAATCAAGACCTAGCAATGCATGTACTAGAAATTGCTTCTTGTTTTCAGACTTACTGACATAGGTATAGATGAACTAAGATATTCAGCTGCAGGGCAGGGTCTAGAGTAACCAGAATTCCTGGACTCTTCACTTCAGGCTATGAGAGTTCCTAAGCACTGGTAAAAACCCCAGTGCTGTACAAATATCATTTTACCTTAGCCATGATATTAAAAAGATTAGAGCCGGGTGCGGTGGCTCACGCCTGTAATCCCAGCACTTTGGGAGGCCGAGGCGGATGGATCACAAGGTCAAGAGATCAAGACCATCCTGGTCAACATGGTGAAACCCCGTCTCTACTAAAAATACAAAACATTAGCTGGGCATGGTGGCGCGTGCCTGTACTCCCAGCTACTCAGGAGGCTGAGGCAGAAGAATTGCCTGAACCCAGGAGGCGGAGGTTGCGGTGAGCCGAGATCGTGCCATTGCACTCCAGCCTGGGTAGCATGAGTGAAACTCTGTCTCAAAAAAATCAATAAATAAATAAAAAATAAAAAGATTAGAAAGCATAACTATGGGATGATTATTGTACATTGCTTATTATTTTAAGACTAAAGGATTCTTTAGAAACACCCTATTCTCCCTTTCCACACTAAATGAGATCAAGTTCTTAATACTCTTCTTTTTATAGAAGAAACATCTAATTCAATGTTACATCAGTAATTAAATGGTATTTTGTTAGATGACATGCAAATGAGTAACAAATGGAATATGAAATAGAAATTTCCCTTTGTTAGGTAAATTGTCAAACACTTGTTTTTAAATTTATTTGGGATTCTTTTAAAGACATCAAGTTTGTAACAAGTGCCCTTCAACAGAAAAAATACTTGGGTATCGTGAGATGTTATCTTAGATTCCTGAAACCCTAGCAGTTGTAGCATTTTAATAGTAATAAATGGGGTATTTGCTTTCCTTGCTGCACACGAGAACAGATTGGGGTTGGGGGTTAATTGTTTGGAAATGAGGTATTATAACTACTGATTTTGAAGAGTCTTTATAATGAAAACAAGACACAGTTAATAAAAGTAGGATAGATAACATTAGAGAGTTATTTTATTAGGGCTGTTAAATATTTGGAGTACAGTACTTAAAAAGTCACTGTTAAAATTTTTACAGTTATTCTCTAAAGCCTGCTAAGAATACTGCTATTTATTACATTTTTAATAAGGCTATATACTATATTTTGAAAGTTTACTAAAAAACCACATGACTTTCAAGTCATTTAAGAAGTCCAAAAGAAATTCCATGCCAACAAATTTAATTAATTTTGCATGGAATGTGAAAGAACGCATAGAAAATAAATGAAAGAGGGATATTGTTTTGAAATAGGACTCATTCGGTGTTCTCTGAGGCAGTGACTGCTTTTCCATGTCACTTACTGCTGGCTCTTATGTTGAATTATAGAATGAGTCTGTGGGGTCTCTAGTAGAACTTCTCTTCATGGGTTACTTTTTATCTATTATTCCAGAGCCAACACAGGAGCTATGAAGCCATAAATCCATATTGTAGCTGCATGAGAACTTGGCCTTGTTTCATATTTGCACGCTGAGTGCTTTCTAAGCAAAGTTCTTTATCCATCACGTTAGTGTAGTCTTATTTTTCTTATTGAATACCTGTGATCTCTAATATGCTTTGTTATCTCTCTTTTTATTTTATATCTTTAAAAAATATCTCTATGTTTTTATGTTTTTTTCTTCTGGAAGGAAACAGCCTCACTTGAAATATTTATACAGATTCTCTGTTTCACAAGAGCCTGCAGTATTTTGTATTCATTATCTCATTATCTCTTCCCTGGTTGTGTCTTTAGAAAAGAAACAATGGACAACAGAGGGTAAAAGAGTTTAAGTAATTTTCTCAGCTGACAGAGATCTAATAGGAAAAACACTCCAGGAATGTATGCCTTAGTTCCTGCAGGTTGCAAAATATACTAACTGGGATCCAAGCTCTAACAAACAGAAAAGCCCAGTGTTAAACTCATAACTGTAACATGGAAGCACATTACAGTGATTTTGGCTATTTAACTAAATGTAATCAATATCAAATGCCCACCATTTCAGAATAATTATAATAAGGAATACAGCATCTTTAACCCATTTCTTGTTTGCTCCAAGAATACCCTCTGGCAGCACTTGCGGCTGCAGTGTTTACCCCAAGATAACTTGTGGATTACTGTTCTAACTTTAGCCCCAAAGTTTGCCATGACATATTTCACTTTTATTATTATTTTTTTGCATTGGTCTAGTATATTGACTTTGGAAACAAAAGACATCATTCTATTTATAGCATTCTGTTTTGGTAGTAGTATTTCCATATACAAAATAATAGTAATTCTTGATTGTTGAAAATGTCAGATCCTGGAAAATGTAGCATTCCTACATAAAAATATTATTAAATTCTGATCATCATATACATTTCTGTTACATTAGAATTAGACATAAGTTTGTTTAGAAATAACTAAGAACAGTTTTATATTTTATTTTCACCTTGAAAATCATATTTGCTTCAGCTTCAAAGAACGTGTTTATGTAAAATTAAATGAAAGCTGGCAGCGAGCTGTACTTTTTTTTTCTAGTGGGAAATGGGTTAAAGATGTACAAGCTGGCCAGGTGTGGTGGCTCACGCCTGTAATCCCAGCATTCTGGGAGGCTGAGGCAGATGGATCACCTAGGGTTAGGAGTTCAATACCAGCCTGACCAACATGGTGAAACCCCAGGTCTACTAAATGCACACACACTCACACAAAAATCAGCTGGGTGCAATGGCACATGCCTGTAATCCCAGCTATTTGGGAGGCTGAAGCAGGAGAATTGCTTGAACCTGGGACATTTCATATCTTATAGTAGAGACAACGCTGTGCATTTTATAAGATTAATCAATTGGTACATTTCTTGGTGAATTTTTATATAAAGAAATTCTATGTGATGAGTTGTTCAATATGAACTGTCTAAAAAACAATTCCTTATGAATAATACCTAAAAATGCACAAGTAGCAAATATCTTTTATAATGGTTGATATAACATCCATTTCTATTTTGCTCCCACTTTTGCCCTTTCTCTGTGACTTGTTTTACTTTGTCTTTATTTTAAAGATAATTTTATTTAAAAATAAAACATTTATGTTCATACGAAAAATATAGCAGAATACAGGATGGAAAAAAAAAGTCCTAATTTTTCCTTGACTCCTAGAGGTAGCAGCTTTCATATGTTCACATATTTCCTCTCAAAATGTCTTGGCATATTCAAGCAGTTATAGGTGCATGCATAGGTATGTATGTCCATCTGCAGTTGTGCTTATCTATAAGCCGTTGTAAATATAAATTCATCAGTATTTCCACCTGCATTGATACTCAATAAAATGGAATGCTCAAATGCAGAATCCCTCAGAACAAATATCTTGGCTGTCCTTGCTATGCTCTGGTCAATCAGATGGTCTCAGTGAAGAGGAGGCGTTTGGGAGGTTGGGCTGCAGTGATTTGTCAACAAGTACAGAAGCATTTCAGTATGTTATCCATTAGTTAGTAGTTCCACAGCTGTGGCTAAAAGGCTAAGACTAACCCTTCTTTGACTCATTTGATGGCTGATTTCCCTTCCACTGCTCTCAAGCGTGCCTGCATTCAAGTAAAGATCTCGAAGGACTAGCATCAGAGCCACCTGTATTTCCCCATTCCATACCAACTTTTTATATTTTAAAATCTAGTCCCTTAGGGCATACCATAGGTCCTATACATGTATGCATGAGGTACCATGTCAAAGCTATAAAGCAGATACAATTCATTTCTAGAGCATCCCTTTGAGGATTCCCTCTGCAGCTCAGCAGGCCTGTTAATCACATTGTAGCGAGCCTATCCTACCAATTGTGCCCCTCCAGTGACCCCATCCACTTAGAGCTTAGAACTACTAAGCCCTCATACTTCATAGCATTTACTAGTCAAGAACATAGCATGGTGTTTTATTAATATAGCACTTTTCATATGTCTCATTATTACAATGTATTAACCCATTGATGATGGGATAGTAATTCAAACTAATTTGTATTTGTCTTTCTACCTAGAATATTGTACATAAATGTCATTCAATAATGTTTCTGCACTATATTTTGGACTATAGTGGGAAAGACACAGATATGCACTACCTCAAGAAATATAAAACATTTCTTGTTTTATATCTTCAAATTCTATTCAAATGTGTAAATAGAGCATTGCCACATTCCTCTCCATTGTCACTCTGTTGACGGTAACACCTCTTTATTTCACCCCTTTTCTTGCACGTTTACTTTTTGTAAAGAGAAGGTACAGAAACCCTTCATTTAGTATGTTTCAGGTTCAATCAGTTGTCTTCATAACACTGAATTTCTCCTCCACTGCTTTCTATTTTGGGATGTAGAGGAATGGACATTTATTGAGGCTTTATTGCCACAATTCTAGAACCACAATCTGAACATAGGAATGTGTTTATATTGTTTTTGCTGTACCATACTAACTCCATCTAAATGGCACTTTTTTGAGGATTATGTGATATAAATAAACATGTTTTCTAAACTGTCAGGCACTATTCACACTGGGAATTTCTAACTTGTATTTTATAGTCTTTAACATAGTAAGGTGAATAAATTGGTATGTAATATTAATAAATGCTCTGGGTGGTAATGATTATAATGGAACTTTAAAAATGATGTAAAATGTTGCCAATGAGTTGTTACAAAACCAAAATCCAGTCTTAATCCTTTTATTTTAAACCCATGGTTGTCAAAACAAAACATCACTTCTTAGCAAAAAAGTTATTAAACATGAACCTGTAATAGAACATTATAGGATTATAGAATAAGATTTGAAATTAAATCGACTGTAGTATTTAGACTTACATTTGACGTAAAATTATGAGAATATTTGGGAATTCAACATTATTGTTGTTGTTATTCTTCCCTAGGTGTTCCAGATCGCGTATGTGATTGTGAAGGCAGCTAACTCCCCACGGCCTGGAAACTGGATTTTGGAACGCTCTCTTGATGATGTTGAATACAAGCCCTGGCAGTATCATGCTGTAACAGACACAGAGTGCCTAACCCTTTACAATATTTATCCTCGCACTGGGCCACCGTCATATGCCAAAGACGATGAGGTCATCTGTACTTCATTTTACTCCAAGATACACCCTTTAGAAAATGGAGAGGTAAGATGAGAAAACTCACCATTTAAGCACATTTAAGGTGAAATAGGCCTGTCAAAAAGACCTGAATATATATCAGTAATTAATGTCAGGGAGATTTTAAAATAGGATTTGGCAAAAGTACATTTAAATAAGTTATTAAATAAAAAAGGAAAACCCGAGGTGATTAGAATTTTAACTACCTTCATGTGTCTCTCATCTGCAATAAAGATCAGAGAAGAGGAAATAGGTTTAAGCTAGAAAGTCAATGATTAATTTTACATATAAAGAGACTTTCTCCACAGTGAGGATTGCTAATGATTAGAGAAGGATTGGAGACCGTAAAGGTGGCCCTACATTTGTGTGTCCTCTGGTCTGAAGATGGAGACAAAAGAAATGAATATGTGAGGAAATGTAATCCACATGAAAGACTCGAATGAAAAGTAATTCTTTCCATCTTTTGATGTATTCTTGCTGTCACCACATAGGGCTACAGTGGGGTTTCTTCCCTGAGTCAGGCTTTGTGGAATGGCAATGTGCAGGAAATCTTAGGCTCTCCGTGATGTGCAAGTTAGTTTATATGCTTAGTTCAAATATGTTCCACTTCTCCTGTGTCTTTCATCCTGTGCGAAGAGTTTAGATTCATTCATTGATTTTAAGCCACGTATTCTGACTATGGCTTCTGTTCTCATTAGTTGTGTGTAGTTTTGTGTGTGTGTGTGTGTGTGTGTGTGTGTGTTTTCTATTTTCCAGCCTAGTTGTATGTTCTTGATCCAGTTACTTAAATTCTCCGTACCTCAGTTTCATTGCCCATAAATCAGGAATAATGATAATAGTTCTTACCTCATATAATTGTCAAGAAGATTAAATGCATTATTATATTTAAAGCATTAGAACAATGCTGAAATGCACACCAAGTACTCGATAAGTGCTATTTTTATTGTTTTGCTGCCATTAAGGAAATAATAACCATTACTACTATTATTTTTATTATTAGTCTTCTCTCAAATACCCAAACTTTGACTTAGTAACCCTCTTGGATTCTTCAATACCTCTTTAGGATATTTCCCTAGCTTGTCTCTCTTTAGTATATGTGACCTGCCTCCTTTCATCCTACCTAATTATGTACATCTCCATTGATATTAATGTCTAATATTCTCTCCCCAATAGTCCACACATCTGAAGCTAGTGTCATCTTTTATATTCATGTTTTTAGAAAACCCCTATTCACATTCTATCATGCCCACCCCAGCCAATCCAGGGTTATCTCTAAACACTTCTACAGAAAATTAGCTTTTTGACATAAATCTGTCAGACTCTCATTAGGCACTATTATTATTTTAATGTATACCAGTGCTTCGTTACATTTTAAATTACATGTTCAAAAATACCAGTTTTTGGGAAAAACATTCCAAATCGTGCTCTCAGCAGAGATCTCAATCTGCCAAATGACAAGGGCTCAAATGCAGTGAGTCAAACAGCTGTTCAACCTGCTTTGTGCCTAGAGGCATCCAATTCCTGGCCAGTTTGGCCTGAGGATATGGGAGTAGGGAGTGCAGAAAGAGTATATTTGAGTTGAATTTTTATTATTTTTTATCCTAGATTCAGTTTACCCAAGACTAATAATTCTCTAATATTTTAAGACTATTCTATACCTTTAAAATGATTCAATTCAGAAATTCATTAAGCAATATAAAATACACCTAGGCAGATATGTAATATACATGTCGCAAGCATATACCCTCCCATTGTCTCCTTTAATTAATGATGGTTCTCCATTCTTTAGAACAAATCCGCCTGCCAATATGAAACAAAAAGATGTGTTAGTTTCTTTAATTGGCTATACTGTTTTCACTCCTAGACAACACTTACTGAAAACTATTTGATGATGGTAACTATTAGGAGCAACTGATTGAGCTATCTCTGTGACATGTTTACTTACATCTATATAGGGAAGTGAATGAAATAAGGAACAGAAAGTAATTTGAAATATTTGAAATAGAATGAGAGGAATGAAGAATAAGAATTAAATTCAGACCTCTCTTAGACTATCTGTTCATTTTATACAGCTTATTTTGTGGAATACGTTACTTTTTTGAATAGACAAGTGATATTCTCCAAGACTCTCAGCTTAATGATAATAGAACTGAAATAATAATTGAGGTCTCTGATTCTCAGGTAAATATTTCATCATAATCTGGTAAAGACTAGGGGCTGATTTTTAAAAGTTGACAATTGCTAAACTTAAAAATGGTTAAGAGGAGATATAGTATTACAGGATCCAATGTAAGTAGAAAGAATCTTAATTCTGAGATATCATGGCGTAGAAAAACACACATGGAATTAGAAGACCTGGATTCTGGTACTGGTACCTGTTATTTGTGGGACCTTGGTCAAATGATCTAATCTCTCTGGGATTAAATTTATTTAATAGATGAATTAGTTCAATGCCCAAATTGTTCTAAGGCAGCATGGTATTTTCTAAAATAATATAGTTTGGCTATCATACAATATTTGAGGATATCCTAAAAGTTTTGGTTGCTTGTCTCTAACGTTTTCCAGATGAAGTGGCTGTGAAATAAATCTCACTCATCAGCTTTAGTTTTAAAATTATGTGCTTTCACATAACCCCTGGAATACAATTATTAGTTGTTTATGTTCATAACTTTACAGAGAAGTGACAGCCAAATAAGAGAAACAAACATAAACCAGTAAATAAAACATGATTCTATAAGTACTACAACAGTAGTGTGTACAGAGAGCAATAAATCTTCCCTTGCTTGAGTAGAAGAAGGCGCATTGAGAAGATAACTTCTCAGAATACAGAAAAACCAGAACAACTCTTATCTCAAATGTCTCAAAGCCAATATGCAAATTCATCTCCAATAATGCTTTGTGTTAAACTCAGTACATAACAGAATTTACCTCCATTGTTGAGAGATATTGTTATTAGATATAGAATTCTAGGTTTGCAGTTATTTTGTTTTGGCACATTTTACTGTTTTCTGGTTTCCATTCCTGATATAGAGAATACAACTATGTAATTTATATCTTTTGGACTGATTTTTCTTTGATTTCTTTAAATATTTTTATCTTTATCTTTGTTCTTCCATAGTTTTACTGTGATGCTCCAGATCTTTACTGTCCACTTCAATAGCCACTAGCCATATGTGGTAATTCAAATTTAAATTTCAGTTAATCCAAATTAAATTAAAATTTAGTTCCTCTGCTGCACTAGCCACATTTCAAGTGCTCCATAGCCACATGGGACTAGCAGCCACCACACTGGATTGGGCAGAATGGAACACTGCCATTATTGCACAAAGTTCTGCTGTACAATGCTGCTCTAGATTGTGCCTTTTTATTTTCTACATACCTGCAGAGTGATGTCTTTCGTCAGTATTTCTCTCTAAATATTGCTTCCTCCCCATTCCCTCTGCTCTATGATTCTAATTTAAAATGACTTGGAACTTTTTACTGTATACACTATGTCTCTTAAACTCTCTTCTTTAGTTTTTGTCTTTTTGTCTTTCTGTATCTTCATCCTAGATATTTACTTCTTGATTATTTCTAGTTCATTAATTCTCTTCTCAGCTATGTAAATATTGCTATTGAAACTATTCATAGGATTCTTAATTTCATTTATTATATTTTTCCATTTCTAAATTTCTCTGGTTCATTTTCAGATAGAAGTTGTTTCTCATTTTACTTTGAAATTTTATATTTGGAGTAAAATTTTTATTTACTAATATGATTTATACTAAAATTTCCAATATTCTCCTTAAGCATAAAGCAAAAATTGTTTTCAATAGTTTTTGTCTGATAACTCTAATGTATGGCCTTTGTGGATATATTTTATTTTCTTTCATCAGCTGATTCTTTGGCTGTTTTACATTCTTATATGCCTGATTATTTTTGTATAACAGAAGTTGTATTTGAAAGAGAATGTGTAGAAATAATTTGAGAGCTAGTATATTGTCTTCATCCTGTGAGGATTTTCTGATGCTACTGCCAGGCAATGGAAAGCTGGATCATCTTAATTCAATTTCAGGGATTCAAATTTCTGGGCCATTCAGATGATTCAAAGCAGTGCTATAACCCAATGACAGCTGCTTTAATTCCAGTGTATGCTCATTACCATGCTGCCCGTCTTTGGAGTCTAAGCCAGTGTGTGTGGGAATCACCAGAGTCCCACCCATACAGTCCTGGAATCCAACTTTTGTCTTCCTAATATAGTAGGGCTGTCAAAAGTGCTGCTCAGTCTCTTAGTCATGTCTCTGGACAGGAAAATGCCCACAGGACAAACGCTGTCACAATGTACCAATCACCTGTCTGGACATCTCTTTTGTCCTTGATGTTGAATAGGTTTTCTTCACCCTCTGGATTGCTCTCACATGGCTTTAAACAGATGTTTTTGTATATTTATCCAGTTTGTCTCGTTGTTATCATTAAGAGTGTTGACTCTTATTGCATAGTCTACCATAAATAGAAGCGACCGTTGCACATGCATTTATTTTTTTTAATTTGGGGATTAGGTTAATTTACATACATGTATGAAGATTACAGAGAATCCTCACATTCCCTCATCCAGCTACCCCTAGAAATAATGTCTTAAATAGTGACAATACACATGTTAAAACTAAAAAGTTAACATTGGTACATTATTGTTAACTAAACCACAGACCTTATTTAGGTTTCATTCATTTTACCAATTTCATTTTCTCTCTTCTGGGATCCAATTCAGGTACTATGTTGCATTTAGTCATTGATCTGTGACAGTTTTAAGACATATTTAGAGATATTTTATAGAATATTATTCAATTTGGGTTTGTTTGATGTTTTCTCATGGCTAAACTGGGCTTCTGGGTTTTGGGGACCAATACTATAGAGGAAACAGTTTTCTCATTGCATCCATCATTTTTTATTAATATATGCATATATTTTTTGTTTCCTTTTTATTGATTTATGGGTATTATGCTTCCATTAATAGATTTTAAAAATGCTTTTAATTTTTATGGCAACAT